AACAAACAAACAAACCGGAATATCTCTCTGTCCCAATTATTTCCTACGTCAACAAATCAACACTGAAGCCCCCTGATGGGCTGAATTTCTGGGATGGGGGCTCCTGTGTTTAGTAATGGCCATTGGATCTTGCTACTTTAATCTAATGGTCCAAATTGTCCATTAGCGACCAGCATCTTCCAGCCGTCATCCTCCTCGAGCTCTCAGCCCTCATCCGCGAGCCGCCGATCCCTAGCAGCCCCAGCCCGCAGACTTGCAGCATCATTCCGCAGAAATCATAAACGGCATCGGCAACACCCCGCGAGCGTACAGCCACCGAGAGACGTCCAAGGGCAATCGAAGTCTTGACGTGTTCGGGAGCATTCGAGCCTTTTCGAACCTTTCAAATCCGGTCCCTTGTCAATCTTGGCGTGTAGATTCTCGAAGTACGGTGACTTCTAGATTCTCCTTCGTTTTTTTATAGAGAGATTATTGGATCTTTGCTTTTATGCGGATTTGGGTGAGATGAGGGACGATGGGAAACATTCTCTCCATCTTCTATTTTAATTTTATTTTAATTTAATTTAATTTGGACCATTAGATTAAAGTAACAAGATCCAATGACCATTAATAAACAGGAGAGGGTGCTGTGTAAGTTCACACCGCAGGCCCCCCAATCCGAATTTCTGAGCTAGCCCGGCTCCAGTTCACACCGCCCGCCGGAGAGGAGAAAAGTGTTCGACGTCTCCGCCATGACCTCGCCTCACGCCGCCGCCCCGTCATCTCTTATTGAATGCTGAAGCAATCGAAAGCAAAGAGCACGCCTCAATCTATTAGTGGAAATTTGAGGTTGAGAAAGGTTTTCCATAGCCGAGGCTTCTGGATTTTTTAAAGTCTCATACAGAGGTATAGCTTTAACACTCCTTCCTTTGGCTGCTTTACTGTTGAGGGATTTGGTTTCTATACCCACTATTGAAACTTTGATGTGGTATGTGACATATGGTTTTGGTTTCTATACCCACTGGTTGATGTGTTATTGATGGATGACCAAAGATAATTTTAGGAGTTTTTTACAATATTGACCAGAAATTGGATTTGTTAACATTCAGGCTCGTATATAACTGAGTCTGGAATTTGATGTAGATTTGGAAGGTTAATTGCCTAATGCCTATCCATATTCTTGGTTGATGGTGGAACTCCTAAATAAACAGAAGTTCATATCTCTATTTGTTTCTGCGTCCATCTCTTTTTTTAGTTTCCCCAATCTGCAAATCTGATTTGAATGAATTTGAAGCATCAGTTGCTGTTGTTTACCAAAAATGGTGTATAGTGTTCATACATTTTGATTTAATATAACTATTTTTTTTTTACAAAAATTTTCTTTGCTTCTGTCCTGTTCAAATTGATAAGCTACTGAAAAATCCTTGTATCTAAATCAGGGTGAAGAAGTCCCTCTGCCAGAACATTTTGTTGACTAAAGAAAAATGCAAGTGAAAGTTCCAATTTTATTGACATTAATTTCTAAAGGATTAAAAACTATATATTTCTTAGTTGTAGTAAAAGTATTTAAAATATGTGTTAACAGAGGTTAGAGACAGTATTTAATGTTCTTTTTAGCTTAGCACGAGTTGTGCTATCTTCACAAGTATGAATATTTAATATCATAATTTAAATTACAAAATCAAAAGAATAATATTTGATAAAATAAATATGCAATTTTATTTGCGGTCACTGTATAACATAAGAATTTATGATTTAGCAAAGGTTAGAGACAGATATTTTTATTTTTTTTTTTTGGTAAATTGTGGGTAAAAAGCAGCACACTCCAGCTACTAATTTTCGGCCCCATTTACATGTTTTTTATATTTTCTCCTTTTTGTAAAGTTTGGGCTCTAACCAAAATTTTAATATGCCTCAATCTTTTTCATTGTCTATGATTTTCTCATGCAGGCGCCACTTTTTCCCATTTATTTCTTCAAATGCTCAGAGTGCTTTCAAGAATGAAGTTGCATTGCTCTGAGAGGGCATTCTCCCATTCTGCACCTTCTTTGACTCCCATCAAACTCCCTGCTCCACTGTAAATCCTTTATTTATTTTTTATTTAATTTCATGTTTTGAGCAATTCATAGTTTTGCTTAATTATTTTTTTTAATTATATGTGTGTGTGTGTGTGTGTTTTTTTTTTTTTTTTTTTTT